ACACACACACACACACACACACACACAGCGTCTTCCCAATATACGTTTTTGCAATTTACATATATGCAAAAACGCATAAAAAAACTCGATAGGTACATGCGAGCATACAAATAGGATAAGGCAAAAACCCAGGTGTGGCGCACTGGCTCATGCGTTTTTGCATGATTCCGTTCTGCAAAGAAATCACTTTTGCTGCCTTAAATCATCTCCAGTTTCTTGAATTGATACAACCCTTTCTGGGCTACATTCCATCGCAAAATTAGTGCAAAAAAGAAGGCATGGAGTGAGGTATGATGATTAACATGATTAGTGAGAGAAACGATGAGAGAGGGACAGTGCAGGAATAAAGGCGAGGAGGCAGTAACTGTTACTTGGTGCTATATGGTTGCAGAAAAATACAGGATAGAAAAGTACTTGGTTTGCACCAAACGCAAAAGGCCTATCTTAATCAAGAAATATGTGCCACAGTCTCCACCTAAAGATTTCACGTTAAAAAGTTACTGGCTAGCGCAGATTTCATAGTATTGCTTGTGCCTTCAAATTATCAGGCTAGGAACGGCGTACTTATCTTTTCAATGCTACTGCGCCAAAAGGCAGTGACGAGCGAGTATGAAACATGATCACGGGTGCGAAAAATGCTTGTTAGATCTATTAGTGGCCATGTAAGCAATCAATCTTTCTATTGGCACGCAGGTTGCACTGCGGCTTCGCAAGAAAGTAAGCTCCTTGCGCCTTGATGAATTCACTGTCTTGACTGTTTCTGCGCACCTTTGCTTAACAAATTGTTCGGTTCACCAGAGCCGAAACATCTATTGGATCTATGACCGCAATTCGGTTGCCACAGTCAGCAGGGCCATCTGTCGCTTTCAGAAGCTGAAAGTAAATTCATGTAAATTCACAGAGCACCAAAATGGATGATGCGTTGCAACGAGTTCGGCAGCGTCGCAAAAAACGAGATGCCACACGTATGATGATTAGCTTGATATCCATGTATCTAATAACAAATACTCCAAATTTGCTCATTACTTTCTGGGAACATATTCACATTGATTCGCTCAGAGGTGTCGCTGACGGGCTCATGTACAGGTACTACTCTTTCAATTGGTCCTAATGTCAATTGTGCAACTGTATTCGTATATGAGTTACAGTCTCATTTAACCTGTATTCACTGCTTCACTTGCGGGGACACACGCATTCAAATCAATTATCCTTTTGTCACTCGTTATATACGTACGTATTGCCACCCATTTTTTGGTAATTCAAGTCCATAAAGCTACCGTTTCCACTGTTCTATAAAATTGATTAGTACTAGAGACATTTGGCGGGCATGGACACACGCGAAAGCTCATTTTATCCTTGCAAACAGCTTGTTACTCAGTTTCGTTACCAGGTTAGAATAATTGGCCAACGCACGGGCTGCTCGTGCGAAGATGTGTTTGTTGCATAGTTCCTGCAGTTTTTGTCGCCACCGGCAACATTTTTTCCGGCAAATGTTTCTAGCTGAACAAATTAAGACTGGCCGCCAGAACTGTCAGGAAACATTCCCTTAAAACTTCAGCTTTCTAGCTTTCCTGGCTCCTGAGTTAGCAACTTACTCGAAAAAACTTTCACGGGTCCGTACGTGGGTACCACGCGTGCCCGCGGACTGGTTTGAAGCTCATTGAGTTTTTTATGGGCAGGGAACGTTCCTGTAAAATTTCAGCTTTTTAGCTTTTCTGATTCCCGAGCTAGCGACTTACTCGCGAAAAACTTTCACGGACCCGTACGTGGATGCCACGCGGGTAAGAGGACCTGTTCCGGAAATGGGGGCCTGTACATGCATGTAGATTAAGTTCCCCAAGTTTCAGCCCCATAGCTTTTGTGGGTCTCGAGATGAAAAATTGGTACAGACGCGCAGCGCACACACAGACAGACACATACACACAGACACACACACAGACAACCTCTCGTCAATATGCGTTTTTTGCATTGCAAAGCTGCAATAATTGGCCAACGCACGGGCTGCCCGTGCGAATATGCGTTTTTTTGCATAGTTCCCCGCAGTTTTTGTTGCTACCGGTACCGGCTTTTTTTGCAAATGCTTCTAGCTAAACAAATTAAGACCGACCACCAGAATTGTTAGGAAACACCCCTTCAAAATTTCAGGTTTCTAGCTTCCCTGGCTCCTAAGTTAGCAACTTACTGGAAAAAAATTTTACGGTCCCGTGCGTGTTTGCCACGCATACCCGAGAGTTGGGTTTGAGCTGAATGAAACTTAGATGGACGGGACATATCCTCTTAAGATTACAATCCTTCAGCTTCTCAGATCCCCGAGTTACAAACTTACCCGAAAAAAATTTTGGCGGGCCCGTACGCGGGTGCCACACTCACCCGAGGGCTGGGTTTAAGCTCACTAATACCCACATGGACGGGGAGCATCATCCTAAAATTTCAGCTTTCTAGCTTCTCAGACCCCCGAGTTATGAAATTACCCGGAAAAAATTTTGAAGGGCTCGTACACGGGTGTCACGCTTACCCAGGAGCTAGGTTTGAGCTCACTAATACCCACTTAGACGGAGAACATCCCCTTAAAATTTCAGCTTTCTAGCAAGTTCATAACTCAGATCCCCGAATTATGAACTTACCGGAGAAAAATTTTGGCGGGCCCGCACGCGGGTACCACACTTACCCGGGGGCTGGGTTTGAGCTCACTAATATCCACATGGACGGGGAACATCCCCCTAAGCTTTCAGCTTTCTAGCATCTCAGATCCCCGAGTTGTGAATTTACACGGGAAAAATTTTGACGGGCCCGTACGCGGGCACTACGCTTACCCGGGGGTTGGGTTTGAGCCCATTAGTATATACTTGGACAGGGAACATTACCTTAAAATTTCAGCTTTCTAGCTTTCCTGGTTCACGAGTTATCAACCTACTCTAAAAAAATTTTGGCGGGCTCTTACGCGGGTACCACGCAGGTAAGACCGTCCATTTTGGGGATGGGGGCCCGTACGTGCATGTAGATTATGTCCCCAAAGTTTCAGCCCTGTAGCT